TATTTCATAAGTTAAATAACAAACTTTAATAAATTTATGTGTAACGAAAACGAACGATTCTAATGGTATCAATGAACTCAAGTTTTTTTTAGGTAATAAAACACCAAATTAAATTCTTCTTTAACTTGTGTATTAAATACATTTAAAGTTTTCTTTTAATACGCTCTGTCTTGTCATGCATTTTTGTTTATGTAATTGTAGTTCGTCATAAAATGACTATACACTAAAGCCGATGGAAATTCAAAAAAAAGCTCTTGACAATTATTCATCATCATAAAAGCACCATTGAAGCGAGTGTCACTATAAGAGACAACTTTTTTTGATAAACTTTGTTGTTGATGAGAACGTCGTATGTGGCAAACGATCTTTTTTATTTGATTAAACATGCGCTGAACGACATCACAATCAACTTTCTCAACAATGTTTTTATTAACATGTAATTGTTCTGATTCAAATGCATGTTGAAGTTGCTTGTTGAGGCAATGATCAGAACATCCAACACGAACACAATAATCACGAAATGTTGCAATCATTTTCGGTTCATTATCACTGACTACATACTTGTTCAAATCTAATTTTAATTTAAAATCTTCTAATTTTTTCGTGATAAATTCTCGAAGATGAGGTGCAGAATGACTCTCTGCATCATATGGGAAGCAGCCAAGAATAAAAGTATACAATTGAAAATTATCATCAACATATCGAAGAGCTATACCACAATAACTAGTACCTAAACAAGTGTAGAAAAGAAATAATGAAATAATTCTCAATTTCTCTCTTAACAAATGCAATGTTTGATGATCTTACCAGTATAACTCTCTGTCCGCTGATCGACTGCTAAACAAAAACTGTTAAGTTGTTCACAAATGTGTGTCAAATGCAATTTATATTCCTCATAAAGACGAGTAACATCATGAATAATCTAAGAAAATAATATAGAATAATATAACTAGCTTTTTCGACATTTTTTTCTTACTGTTGTTGAATGTGGAAAAAGTTCCTTCATTTCAATTGAAGATTTATGCATTGTATTTATCAAATAAAACTTTTGCAAGCCTTTGAAAACCGTCATCTGTTATAACATTGAATGTTCGTTTTCGTTTTGACAACTGTAACGGTTCGCCATATGTATTCACCGAACGGATGATTCATTTTCAAATAAATATCGGTTTCGATAGATGGCGACAACATGCTGATACGGAATAGCCAGATGGATCTGATAAGCCATCGCTCTCCACTTGTCTTTCGACACATAGTAATGAACGACAGGTTTTCTAAAAAATTCTTACGCTGCATAAAGATGTACTTGCTCAGCAGCACAGTTTATCCTACAGCTCATGAGCAACTTCTATTTTGTGAATCTTGTATGGTAATGGACGCATCAGACAGTTCTACAATGAAAATGTGTTCTCGAAGAATACAGCATATCGGCTATTTTTTAATAATCAGGATGTTTAGAAAGTTTTCAAGATTTTGACCCTTTACGGCCGGATATTACCAAAAGGTAACGTTCAGCCAGTTCTTACGGAGCTAATGACTGAGTGATCGGCATTAATATCAATATTAGTGTAAGTTATAAAGAGAAATCCTACAGTATAGATAGTTCGCGTACTGACCTTCGATAGCGTATCAGAAAGCCCATGACAATGCTTCTATGGATCGTCCAATGTGTTGCATATTCACCGACGTATTTTTCAACGGTGAAGCGGTTCAACCTTGGAAAAAGGCGAATAAATTCTACGACATGTGTACCGAATTATCATAATATTACAATGACATTGACTTATGCTTTTAATGACTTTCCAGGCTATACAGTCGTACGATGGTACCAAATGGTACTATTCGGCCGTAAAGGGTTAAATAAGAACTTGATTAGTAGGCTTATAATATATTAAAGAGTTAATGCATTGCAGTAAGAGATAGATACGAGTATTGTATTGAATTGCAGCATATTAATAAGTGAAATGTATTGTAAGACATTATTTGACCATAAGTTTAATGAAACAATCATGAAATCATTCTAACTCTATACAATACACTAGTCGTCTTAACTGATTGTCATACATGAGGTATCGATGCATTGCACTTCATTGACGAAATTTAATCAATGAAAACGCATGAAAAAAGTTGCATTATCATGTAATAGCCTCATTATTTTCCCATAGTGCGATAATGCATTGCAATGTTCATTATTTTCAAGAAACGGCTACATGGGAAGTTTCTTCAAAAATATGTCGAATATGTTAATCGTGACGTGTAACAATTTCAAGAGCACTCTCAATCTTTCCAAAGCAATCGACCATCCTCACTTTCTCAAAACTGCAATTAAAACCAAAACACTTAAACCTGAATACTACAATGCACATGCGACCATTAATGTCAACAATTACAAGGAAAGGAAAGGTCAGCACAATTACCTAACAGACAACAGCTACTGATCGAACCGATTAAGATAGGACGCGGCATCAAAACAGTACGCGCACGTTTGAGTCTTCTCGCAAGCAGTTTATTTTGCCATGATTTGGTTTGAAATAGGGTTTTTTCTTTCGGCAATGTTTATTTCGAATAAAATCTGGTGAAACCATAAGCGATCTGGTCAATCTTTTCGAGCAGAAGACGGAACCAGTCATGACAGTTCTACTCACTCTCAGATCGTCTCTGCTGTGCGCAGTCTTCCGCATAGTTCGTAGGGTGAGCCAAGTGCAGCTCATTTTCCACTATCGGATGTATAAAAACTTTGTGTATATCCATAACTAACAGACTAGTTCCTTCAGAGAAAGCCGCAACAGAGGTGAAAACATAATGATTACGTGTAAAACATCGCAGGATTTTTTAAAATATCTCTTCAAAGGTTAAACAGATTGCATTACAATTTTGGAGTTTTTGATTTTTTACACACTATATATCTACTAGGAACTTTGCTGCACTCGATCATATCTCTCTAATTTGAAAAAAATGTCCGATTTGATTTCCCCTCGAATAGAACTTAACTTTCATAGAATTTCGTTAACCAGAACACAACAGGAATATAAGATGTGCATTATAACATATGTAATCGTCATGAACTTCCCTCGCTCAAGTGCTATTTTCTTACATAGATCGCACGTTCACGGCACAGTTTATTCTTAATCCAGATACATTGATCGTTTGCGATGAAAAGTAGCTCTCACGACTCTACTATAGTATATGGGAAATAAAANCTTATGCACTAAAGCAATGGATTGAGGAACTTCTTCAAAAACATATCGTCTATTTGAGCCCATAATTTGCCTCCAGGTAGGACTCACAGTATAGACAAATGCCTTTAAAAAATTCATGCTCAAGTTGTCTTTGTTGAGATACCGTTTTTTGAAAACATTCGAATAGTTCATTGCCGTGGTCCGCCTCATGGATATCAGAAAAATTTATTTTCGAGTTTCGATTAAAAACTTCTTTGATTACAAAAGTGTTATAGGCGTCATCTCTCTCTCTCTCTCTGCCTAGATCAACTGTTATACCTTCTATCTCCCTAGATCTTTTGTATTAGTGATATCTTCCTTTGTTCCTGTGATATATATTCACTTTTCTTTGTACGTTGACACATAAATATGTACGTGTGATAGTGTGAAAAGGGAGCAACGAGAGGAGTGTTTTTCCACGCGTGTAACTTTTCATTTTCACAATAAACTAAGAAGTTCCGAAAACATAAACCTCTTGTCTCTAATAAAAAGCATAACTCATAATATGATGATGGGAAGAAGAGGATGAAAATAAACGGTAGAAGATAAGGCAGTAGCAAATAGGTCCATTTTTTTATAAGTATATTCTCGAACAGACTCGATATTTCGAAGAAAACTAAATCACGTTGAATTTGTTAATTTCGAAAAGACTTTTCGAAAGTCAGATTGGAGAAAATCATTTCAATCTTTCTTTATTCAACCAAACGTATGTTTCTAATTTCAAGAGAAGGTCTCTTGAGTATTATCTTTGTTAAATCTGTTTCAGTCTCTTGTTTTTTTTATCTACAAGTAACGCTCGTCGAGGGAGACTCGCTTAACCCTTGACTGAATGGTTTCAATTGAATGTTTTAGTTGCTGAAATCATCCATAATAACTTCGTTTCTAGTAATGCAGCTCGTCATAGTCCTCTTTCAGCTGATCATTCTGTATGACAATTCATCGAAAAATTCAAAAAATATTCTAATTCTAGCTGCAATTGAGAATGTTTGTTCAATAACTTACATAATTAACTGCAAAATAGAAATTTATTTTATATTCGATTGACACAAATATGAATGAACATGGAAAAATTAATATCTGTGAAACTTTCACAACACCATCAGAAAAGTACTAACAAATATAGTTTAATGAATATTTGAGCATAGATATTTCATAACTTCATGAATTATAGTGAAACGCATGAGGAATTCATATTGTTCATCGGAAAACTACACAGAAGTGATAAAAAAATCGTCTTATTACATGTGAGATTTATTGAAACCATTCTGGAAAACGTGACCGTATGTTTATATATAACTGATCAAGTCTTTTCATTTCAGCAACTTGAGATTTATTTGGTTTCATGAGTAAAACTTTGTAATCGAATGGCCGTAGAATAGTTGGATCAACCAAACGTCTCACACGTGAGATTGGTACATATACTTCTGCAATATCATCACTTTCATGTGGTATTTTTAAGTCAATAATCACTTTGTTCAAGGTTTGATCTTGGCTTTTATGCGTTGTAATGCAATAAGCAGGCACAAGTGGTAACGCAGCTCGTTTTAATAGATAAGGTTGTCTTTTGATTTGGTTTTGGTTTCTTGTCTTTTGGAAGAATATCGGCAACATCGATACGAAATGTTTGTTCAACTAATGGGATTGGAATAAGTTTTGATTCAAGATCTTGTAGTTTACATTCAATCTTGGATTTAGTTATTTCAATTAAAGCATATATCGGTCGACGAATATATTTTGTATTGTTGGGAAACATTTCCAATAAATTTTGCGTCAATACCCAATCTTCGTGATATACTAATTGTCGAGATACTCCATTTATGCCATTGATAAGACCTAATTCAGTAGCAATATTTTGCGTTAAAATGACAGGCATACCTGGTACAAAAGGCAATAGGCCAGGTAAATGCTCTGTCTTGCTATCAGATAATTCTAATAGCTTTTTACGCAATATTG